TATAAAGCAATTTTACTCTCACAGTTTAATGGAAGACAGAGAGTGTATACACCTACGCGATTGCGATCGTTTCTGAGCCATTTCCCTTAGAGTCTCCAACTATTGATTGCTAATCAATAACAACAACAAAAATATGGTTGGAAATGTGTTTTATTAATTTTATTACAGGATTACATTTTACAGAACCGATATAACTTTTTAAAAAAACTATGATCAGTTTGCTTAAGATTATTAAATCATATGAAACAACCAGAATATTGTGAAACTCGTATCTCATGTCAATTAATGCCATACAATTTAAGAGAATAACATGTTTTTTATGGTATAATTGACATTAAAATTTCATAATGTAAATTATAATTAAAAATTGCCCTGTCAGTTGGTTTTCATTTCTTAATTCCATTTATTAGCATTAAAATCATGTTAATTAGTTAGTTGGTTACTTAGTTAGTGATAATCGTATTAAAGAAACAAAATTATTTGGTTGTGTACATGTAAATTTGTAGACTTCTCTGAAAATAATAATAAAGGAATGTAATTAACAAAGGCTTTATCAAACATACATCATTTTACAGTTGATCTAATTGCTAACAACATTCGTTTGATAAGATACTTACTTACGGGTTGATGTTTTTTAGCAAGACTGATTCTCCGGGATGTGGTCGGCAACCTCATCCCCAACCATCCTTTTTTACCCTGGTTTGAGACCGGCAGTAACTTTAGAAGAGCTATAGACGGAGTTTATGATAAGTTTGCTCTGCACATTGAATGCTGTGATCGAAATATGAAGAATTCAGCATGAATATAATCAACGGAAAAACTTATCAGATATAAGATAATGGTTTTTTTACAGGAAATTCATTCATCCATGTCAGTTTATGGAATTCTGGTATTATAACTGATGTTAGTTTGTGATGAAAACCTTATCTCTAATTCGTAACCCCCGTTTTGTGTTCTAATTCTTCACACTAATTATAACCCTATATTTTACCCATGAAATGGCTTAAGTTTTTATGGTAACATTGAATGCATCTAAAGATTTGTCAATAAATTATACTCTGATCGACAAAGTGAGAAACGAGGAATATGAGATACATAGGATTCTATATATTTCTAGGTAGCAATTTTCAAAGAGTTGTTTTATTATACTTTATTGTATTTCTATGTCCAGTTAATCATAATCAAACAAGAATCCGGCACACTACATAAGCACAATGAGATAACATTATCAAAACAAATTTCAGAGTAACGGAAGTAGTAACAGTGTCATTAATGGTATTAAAAAAACTATATGAAGACAAAATGACGAGATAAGGAAGAATTAGCTTGTTCAATAAAAAAGATATGGTAATTTTAAAATTCAGGATTAAAAAAGAATCAGTAAATGAATGAATCCGTACAACTGGAATAGATTTTGACTCATGTCGCCGAAAATTTCAATGTATTGGTTAGAACAATCATTTGGAACTTAATCAGATTAAAGATACTCAAACATTATGACAAAGTGGTTAATTATGAAATTAAAAACTATACTACATTCAAGAATAATATCGATACCATTCACATGGAAGAGGATGAATTGATGACAAGCTTTTATGTATCTTCCTTATTTACTAATGTACCTAACAATAAAGTAATGGGTGTCATTAATGATTGTTTAGAATGACACAGACTTGAATCGGAATTGTGTTTATAATCCATCTTATCCTTATTTGAGATCTTTACAGACGAATCGGTGTGACAATGGGTTTACCAGTTCCTCTGAGTATAATGAATTTATTCATGCATTCCTTAGAAATCATTGAGATTAAAAAATGTGTAAAGTCACTTAAAGTTTGGTTACGGTATGTTGAGAACATTTCGTTATCATTAAACGAGGTGGTTTAGAAAAAATATTTGGGAGTGTAAACAATATATCGGATAGCATTAAGTTAGGAAAAGAGATACAGTCCACTAACTAAAAACTAGAGTTCCTCGATAGTTTGGTTGAAAGAGGGCATAATATTAAGTTACAAATTATTCTATTTTTGAAATGAACATATTCTGAGATTACGGTTTAGCTCATTCTTGTTGTACAAAGATAACAGTCATGAAAAATCTAAATAGCAAGAGAAGTAATTTGACTACATAGAGGAAAGACCAAAAGAAAGAAATGAACTTAATATTGTCTACATTTGGAGCAAACAATTACCCTAAATAGTTTTAAAGAAGACTGTTAGAAATGAAAGATAAACTAAATTAGATTGTATACCGGAAGAATGGAAGAAAACTGTGATCATCCAATACTGAAAAGAAACATCGGAAGGAATTAAGAGGATTATGACCAAACAATATAACATCGTACATTTGGACCAGTGATACAATAAGATCGGTGTTTGTGTAAGTTAATGATAGCTTTCCTAAGGAACAGCAACAAGATGTTTTCTATGAAATCAGCCGTCAGAATTGTAATGCAGGTTATGCAGAAGAAACATAGAAGAAATTGAATGTGAGGTTGAAAGAACACAGGCAATTTTTGATACATGTTCCCGAATCTCCAGTTAGTCTATAGAAACTTGAGAATAACTCAGCATTACCGTTACGTACGTTATAAACGGGACACATAATCAACTTCGAAGGGACCAAAATAATTCAGAAAGTGTTTGACATGTGTAAAGAAGGATTGGTAACTTAAACCTATACACACACATTCACTCATCCGTTTATTCACAAATTGGGAACTTTTCACATGCTTCATATTATCCTATTTACTAAAATCAAAATCTGAATACGATTAGATAAACATTTGGTACAAATTTAATTCGGTTGTTAAACATTAAATATTCTTTGATAATTTCAATTTTTATCGGAATGGGGTTTTGTGAATATTATAGTGATTTTTAATAGTTGAATTCATGAGCTGATAAAAGCTAGACCACCATGGAAAACCTGGAAGCACTGGACAACATTTTCTTTCTAGTATGGAACTCAACTAAAGTGCACATCCATGATTCTTCACGCTGGATCAACTCATGGCAGTCCATCTTTAATCGATTCATAAATTCAACTATTAAAAATTACAACAATATCCACAAAACCCCATTCTGACAATAATCATCATGTGCTTACTAGTGACCGGCTTGATGAGGTATTTCTTGGAGTTCTAGTGAGAGGCCGTGGCTAGTGGAGTTCAACCGTTTCTGTTGTCGGGGCAGTTACTCACTGAAGACAATGGTGGACGGCAGCGCAATATCGTGGATTGGTTGAAGCTAGGCATTAACACCATTGTATGCCCTTTCAGTGGTCTAGAGGGAGTCACAGTCTCGCCCGCAAGACTGAAGGTCCTGGGTCCCAATTCCAAATGCGGGATCGTGGATGCGCACTTCAGAGGAGTCCCATACTAAGACGATACGACCGTTCAGTGCTTTCACGTTTTTCATGGTGGTCTAGCTCTAATGGACTCATGAATTCAACTATTAAAAATTTTGATTTTGATCATTACCCTGAAGTCCAGACAAATTTGCTGGACGGAACATTGGAATTGCCCTAAACTCCAACCGCTGAGATTATTTCAAATATAATTTCACAAATAAGTTGGTGTTAGTTGAATAACTGTGAAATGTGAAGAAGTCAATAGAAAGAGGACAGAATTCACGAGCATAATTCATTTTTTATTTCTACCATTTTATGACAAAAAAAAATTTCATTTCTTTAAAATGATGTATTTAGAAAGTTGGAAGAGCATTTTAATTCCTTAGGCAATAGTTCAAACACGCCACAATAAAACGATACATAGTTATACTACTTGTAATTTGATGTACATTGTGCATAACGTTGGGTGACTAAAAGAAGTAGACAACAGACGCACATTGAGCAAGTTTAGACTCACCGGTAGGGCGTATCTACAACTTAGAGGACCTGATGCTCTCTAAGGGCTTCAAACACAGGCCACCAAGCTTTACAGTCTAACATATAGAGTTTTTCAGTGACCTTCTGCAACAACAACAACTACCGATGGAGTTCATGATGTAAGAATTGTTTTATTGAAGATTCCTAAGCCGCCTACTACTACTCTAAGAAAAAGCTATGTCGATATGACTAAGTTACTTTTGAGACTTTTATATATAGAAACGTTCAACTGTCAATCATAAAAAGGAACGAAGCTTTGATGTTTCGAAGAAAAACTGACAGTTCTGGGCATATAATTTTCAAAAAAATTTACTCTGAAGAACATCAACATTTTAAAGGTCTAACATGTATTTCTAAACAAAAAAACAGAAAGGCAGTTTACGTCTTAAACTTAGATTACATAGTGCACCAGGCGGAAGCATACAACAATGGACAGTTATTTTATGGTTTTATACACACAACTCTTCCAGCAGACACTCCAAGAACATTCACGTATTGTGGTGAATGCATTTTACACAGACTACTGGTTTTGCATGGAAGTCTTCATCTACAATTTTAATTCGTTCAACCGTTACTAATGACTTTGAATAATCTTGGTGCTATAGTGGTGATCGACTAAAGATGATAATACAAATTAATTCATTTTGAATTAAAGGATTAAGCGTAACAAGCTGGATGAGAGACTAGAAATGCAGTGATTAGAACCTTGGTCGGATCAAGAGTTTCCAATCTTGTATAATTTCAAACTCGGAGAGAGCAATTATCCAACACTTCCCTGTTTTCAATAGTACCCCACTCAATATTCATTCACGATGAATGTCACTTTCAAGTTAAACACCAAATCCATTTAACAAAATATCAGATCACTTGATGAATGATGAATTTATTTCGGCTAGATACAAGTTATCTATTAATGTTTTCAATTAAATAAGCATTAAAACAAATAATTTAAAGAATCATATTCTTTTAAAGGTAAAATTTAAGAAAAATTAGTTATCCCTGGATTTCATCTTCATAATAGTGATATTTGTTATTTTATGTTACGAAAAAACATTTCTTGTTATCTATCTTTTTAAATTGTTTGTTTCTTTTTAAGTTATCGAATTATTTAACTATGTACTGGTTATTTCTTCATCTGGTGTTCTCCATATAAGATAAGATACATCACGTACACGAAATATAAAACACTTATTGGCACTATGTGAATAACTACTCCAAAATGATCCTTTAACTATGACAACGTGCCATGCTTTACCGTAAGTGTTATCTAACCATTGTTTCAATTGAACAGCTTGATCTTTTTCATCCAATTTCTTTGAAGATGTTAATAGTTCAATTGCTTTATTACTGATAGCAATTTGTTTATCTAATGGAAGCTGTTCATAGATTACTACAACATCTGGATGAAGTTTCGATGAAGCTGATTGTTGATGTTGTGTTTTCATGGCTACTCTGTAGACCGAAAAGAAGAGAAAGAGAGCAATACAAGAAGATTTATCATTTATAAAAACATGTTTTTTAAACCGAGATTAGCTTAAACTTAGGTTTACTAATTTGATAGCACATGGATGGCAATTGAGAATAAGTATAATGAGATATCATAAGCACTGTTAAATCCTATCATATTGGTTAGGTGACGACGTCGTTGAATATTGAATTCCCTATTCAGTGTTGGCAGTACAAAAATGAAATAGCTATTCATTAGTCTATGGCTGTTCGTATTTGATCTAAAACGTTCCATAAACTCATGACCAAACACATTTGTAAGATTGTAGATGAGGAACAACTAGGTTTCTAGTCATTTTATTCAGTAAGAAAGAAAGGAATTAAGCATTGACACAATCGATTCTTGAATCGTTGATTTTTACATCTGATTTGAAATTACTTTAACAATTCTCACATATTAAAACACTTAATGTACATGTTTGATAAATCGTTATTATCTGATCACTTTTGCAAACTATACTGTCACGTAGCCACATATTATTTAAATGTAACTTTACATGTTAAGAATTGATATCATTCAAAAGAGAAACTATTTCAAGTCTGACGTTGTAATCAACGAAACTACTGATTACATTTAACTTCGATTACTTACTTACTTCCTTACGCCTGTTACCCCCAAATTGAGCATAGAACACCAACTAGCATTCTCCAACTCACTCTATCCTGGGATTTAATTTCAATTACAATATTTTATCTTGTTACGCAACCTATCCTTATAATTAATAAATTTTAGTTAGATTTTATAACATTCAAATGTCTTAGTAACAATATTTTCAATTTTTTGTTTCAAAACAATTGGAATAACATATTTTGCTCTTCTGTTGTTATTTTCAGTACATTATAGTTATTAAAAGAAAAGATATGGATCATCGTTATGGTATCAGAATGCATTATGGAATGTACAGGATTCAGAATGAATTTGCCAAGAAGAATTCTGGTCGTTTAACTAACCATTTTTCGTTTTATTTCATAAAGAGTTTTTCAATTTAGCCAAAATTTTTATAGTGATTTGTGTAAATTTGGTTTACCTACCTTATTATGAGAAAATATCGAATTAAGTGGTCATTAGATATTGAGTATTTGCTGAAGTACAACATGTCTACAACTGAAAACAAGTCAAACGATCTTCAATAGCTCGAAAGATTAGTCTACATTATATCGCAACTTGTTAGATTTTGCATTAATGAATTTGGTATTTAGAATAAAGGACAGTACTTACATATCGAGGAATTATTATCATGTTAACATACCATTTAGATTTATATGGTTAGCGTCCGACTATTGACAAATTTAATTGATGATTTTACATATTTAATTTATAATATTTTATTTCTCTTCTAGTAATCATATATATTTGGATTATAAGCATTGTTTTAAATGAACCTATTTAAATAACCAGATAAACCTAATCAAGGATTATACTCTGATTTGCTAATACTCAATCATTGATGTTATACTCATCTAATTCTCAATGCTTTTGTAATTCTATCGATTAAGTTGTGATGATCCTATTAATTTACATGGCTCATCTTCGTACACACTAAATTTTTATTTCAAATATTTTCACACAATCTTGATAAATCTCAACCACATTGCAATTTAGATATGAATTTAGTTACTAATCATTGATCAATCAATGTAGTTATTACCCGTGCTGTGAGCTCCTACAAGATTGAAGACACATTTTGCTAATGACAGAATAAAGAAAAAATACATAATTTTTGAAACATCTAAAAATATTAGCTTTGGGTTTCATCGCTAATGAGTACTAAACAAGAAAAATAAACTTAGTGTCTCTATGGACTAATTATATAACTTACGCTTGTGCAGGACTCAAACCCAATACTTCACAAAAAGTACTAAACGTTATCTTTCCAGTATTTTTGGCATCAAATAATGATTTCCATTTCTAAAAGACAGTAAATCATCGAATAAAATGGAACATGAAATTCATTCAGAAAATATTTATGAATTTAGACTTGAGAAACCGTTTAATAAAAATAAAAACAAATAACTAATGCATTATAATCTACACATACACATTATCAACCGAATACTATGAATGTTTGTTATATTATTAAATTTTTGAATGGTAGTTGATCTTCTATTTTTATCAAAGTGAATTCATCAAGTCTTTAAGTAAAATTTGAAAGTAATTTCTATTGTAAACTGATCTTAATTGAAGATTTATTGAAACAGAAGTTGCGTCCTAATCCAAAAGTATAAACTGATGTTACCAATCAAATTCGTTGTGAGATAATTATGCTAACAACGAAATTAGATGAAGATACAGTCTATCACTAATTGAATTAAAGCGGATCCACTAATTCAATAGTTTTATACTGTGATAAATGAAATAATCATCTTTAGTTAAAAAATGCCAATCATTTTCTAGTTATGTCATATTCTTAGCGCATGTTCTTTGTATACTGATACTAATTAAAGATAATTATTTTCTCACAGAATTTATGACTATGGTTTGTATTACGAACGTATTACTGTACTATAGAATAATGTCATATCTGATACTATACATTTCGCTTGAATCTTTTGCTCCATGACCAATGAACACTTACAGTAACTAATGCATTACATTTTTGTCAAATAATATACCCAAACCTTATTCAGTGTTACCTCCACTTTGTATTAATCTGATCATAACTGTATACCGAGGTTCATATATATATATACCATATGATAAAAACTACACGATTTTAACTAGTCTCGAATGTCTTATAATGGTATTCATATAACAAATAACTACTTAACACGTAACATTTATTTTGCCCTTTTTTCAATCTGACATCTATTCTATTTAAATAAAATCAGCGACTTTATTTTTGACGAAAAGATTTACTAATATACTGTATTGGAAACATCTTTTATCTAGAAAAAAAAGTATCAAGAGTTGAATTGAGTTTTCAATGTCATAGTTTTACATATGACAAGCGCAAAACTAAAAGGCAAATAAGTATGAATACAACCTTAACCCTAGTCTCACCTCCACCCTGAATAAGTGTAAATAATACTAAGAATTAGAACAAATTAACTTTTTCTATCTACGCTTTTTATATCGTTACTATCAATCTTAATAGAAAAAAAGACTAGAGTTTATTTTTTTCCAAATTGAATGTAAAGTAGATTAGATAATCATGATTGGAATACCGATTCACAATTGTTACTAAAAGTCTCATATTAGAAAGAATGATTGTTCAGTAAAATACGTATTAACACAAGAAGTATGTATAAAATACTCAATTGTATTAAATATACTTTTTGTAATTCTTTGAAGAGTGATTCAATAACGCACTAGAAACTATAGTAATATTATTAATGACTTGTTCATTTTAAGACTAGCAATTTGTAGGAATGCTTAATGGTTACCGATTGGAACCAGAAAACATAACATTGTTGTTGCTAAGCTATTATGTAATGTAAATAGTAACTGTCTATCACATTATAATTATTACCGTAAGAAATATTGAAATATTGGCCAAACATGCTGAAATAATTCTGATATAAAAAATATGAATCACTATGTTTCTACTAAAAATAAATTTCATACCATAATTCTATCCTGAAGAAACTGTAGTAATAATGACATTTACATCCAGTTTGTACATAGTTCCACTGTTAATATTTATTGATACGTTTGATAGATTTGATTGTTCAAACGATTAACTAAGTCATTTCGTTTCAGAGTTGGATAAAAACATATTACTTACAGCCTAATTTCATAAGAGAACGGTTCAAAACAACACCAAGTGAATTTAAACTTCACCCCATTTCACAAGCAAGTGGCTATCAGGACTCAGTAGCTGAGTGGATAACGCGCTCACATTTGAAGCGAACAGTACTGTATCGAGTTCCAGAGTGAACATCAACTTTGGGATGCAGTTACATTCAGATGAAGAGTCCCAAGTAGAATGAAACGCTCGTCCTGGATTCCACTACTAGCCACTATACATCTTTGCTTATAATGCTTGTGAATTAAGGCAATATCGAGGCAATACTCACAGTATGCACATATGCTAATAACAGACTGATCAATTTCAGTCTTAAACATCAATGGGAAGATTTAAGTAAACAATACCAAGTGGATCTAATTTCGAATAATGTTTACTATTCATTATAAGCATAACATATACATATATATCAGTAATTATTTTACACCCTAATTTTTTTATCATATAGATGTAAAGATGAAATTAGTTGTAATGTTAAAATATAGTAGTAGACGTAGTCAATCTATCAATCATTCATATATTGAAAAAGTAATATAAACAAAAAAAGTACTCGCGATATTGATTTATCGTTTAGTTAGTTTTTTTTTTTGTTGGTAAATCACATGGGTATGACAAATGATGGATGAAAACCTTTTATTGTGAATATGATTATAAAGATTATATATATAAAAGACAAAAAGATGAGCAATAGAATATGTCATATAAATCTATGTACTAATAAGATCTAACAAAATTTAGTCGAATTATAAGTTAAGAGTTGACATAATGTTCAAAGTTCTACTGATATTTCTTTTGTGTAATCTAAATTGAGATGAACACATATTTTAATTAATCGGAATTTAATATACAATTTAAATACTTCCTTATATCAAACTGTTACTAAATAGAATGAATTAGGCAAGTGTCCCAGAATGTTCAATATCCATATAGGTTTTGTTTATCTTTTCTTTCTTTTAGCCTTAAACAATAATTGAATAATAGAAAACTTTCATATTGTTATAAAAACAGTTTACATATACAATATAATTTGTATAAATATGTAATAAATTATTGATAAACTTACTGTAACCATCATTTCATCAAGCTTATTTTCAGCAACATACTTTTTCAATTCATCGATTGTGATAGTTTCAGTTCCATCTTTGTCAATAGCAAAGAACACTTGTACAAATGGTTCCATTTTATGCCTATTTAACTATTTGAAAGTAAAAACTGAGTAAAAAACAAAAAGATGTTTGTTTTTATTACCTAAATAATTAAAAATGAAAAAATAATTTGAATTTAAAACATTTAATACTTATATATGTTAATGAAAACAATGAGATTTTGATGTTTTGTTCTCTAAGTTGGGTGGTATAGTCGTGAAGCTTTTATCCTTCTTCTGAACGATATCATCAGCACAAACTTCAGGTAGAAGTGAATTGTTCAAATTTCTCCACATGTGGTCCTGTACAACTCAATATTGATTGTTTCTAGTGAACATCGAAGTGTACAAGACAAGCTGTGAATCCCATGTGAAGGAATTCTAACTACCTGAAGTTTGTACTGATGATGTCGTTCAGAAGAACAATCAAAGCTCCACGACTAAACCATCCAGCTCAGAGAACAAAACTCCATCAAAATCATCCACCTGAGCTACAAATCTTCTTTACAATTTCAAAAAACAATGAGAAAATCAAGCTTATTACAAAAGTGTTAAGTATACCTTTTAGTGAATAATAATGATGAGTACACGAATATTTTAATACTTTATATTGATATGAATTTCAATGCTTTTAATAGTAAAACGCAAATGAAAGTGTACTATAAGAATAAATAAAATACACTTTATAAAACCAATCAACAAACAGTACACACACACACACGCACACACACAAACATAGATATCTGAATTTCTATAATTATATATATGGTATGCATATAGAATATATATTCGTACAGTTAGTTAAAGGGATCCCAACTATAAAAGTATATCTATTCACAAAGTATTAATCTAATCATATTGTAAAATATATTTTACTGGAAAATAATAAATTATTAATGATAAGAAAATGAAAATAAAAGAATTTATTGAGAAGAGTCTACAGAGACGAATCAACCAATTAAATCAATCTATGATGATTTCACTATACTATCATTTTTTTTATTCTTTTGTGTATAATAACTACACATATATACATTCATCATCAAAATACACAAATATACTTATTCTTCTATACAGCACATAACATATCAACTAAGTAAATGACCTAGAAATAAGATTACAATCTTAGTTATCTCAATTATGATATTTTCAAATATAATCAAAATTGTAATAAATATAATCATTATTATGAAATAAGAATAATAATTCTTATACTGATGAAGATGTCATCTTGTTGTAAAAAAATAAGTAAAACCTTTGTTATGTAACTCTTTTGAAATATCAACATCTCTATTTGATGTTCAATGTTTCAATTGAAAATATATCTTAAGGATAGAATGATTGAATAATTTGTTTCATTAATAGTACTAGATTAAGAACATAATTATAGAGTTACATTTTACATTTTCTTAAAAAAAAATTAACTTGAATTTCATGTTAGTAAATAATAGCTAATATTTTGTGCTCTCAGATATCATAGTTTTTCGTAAAGTTTTGTTCTCTGAGCTGGATGGTTTGGTTGTGGAGCTTTCACCGTTCTTCTGAATGACATTATCAACACAAACTTCAGATAGAAGTGAAGTGTTCGAATTTCTCTATATGCGCTTCATTGTCATTGTAAACAGTGACAAATTGAAGATCAATAAGAACCAATCAATATCGAGGTGTACAGAACAAACTGTGAAGCGCATATGGAGAAATTCGAACACTTCACTTCTATCTGAAGTTTGTGTTGATGATGTCATTCAAAAGAACGGTGAAAGCTCCACAACCAAACCATCCAGCTCAGAGAACGAAACTCCATCAAAATCATCCACCTGAGCTACAAATCTTCTCCACCATCTCAGATATCATAGTCTCAAAGAGTTTATCGTTTATCTTGATAAATGAGTACTATTTAATTACACCAAATTCCCTCATCTCTTGTGTAATGAGTAACTCTGGTTGTTTGGGAAAATTATTGGAATGACTAAGTGATTTGATAATTTGCTCATGAAATGGTCATTCTAACCTTCAATCAATTAAGTTTTAGGATTTTCACACCATTCTCCTTTTTACAGAAATTCCAAGAAGAGAAAACAAAATTCACTTACTTCACCAAATTTCTTTAATCAATCGCGACATAAAAACAATCGCACTGTATTTTTGAAAAAGCAGTCTAGGAAAATATGTATATCTTTAAGGGGTTGACAATGATAATATGAGATTTCCGGTTTTATTTTATCGGAAAACAGTTTTATATCCAAATATTAAAGGTGCGATTATATGAAATACAGTCTGAATTCAGGATCAGCAATTGCTCGTCATGCTAATGCCTGATCAACTTGAGTAGTGAAATTAATAAGACCAGACTATGAAGAAAGTCTTACTATCAAAGGCTGAATGAAAAGTTTAACCACATGAGCAATTGTAAATAGATTGACTGATATTGGTAGAGATTGGCGAGCCCTTACCTTGGTTAGATTATTATCCACGCGTATGATATAGCATAGCCAAACTTGGATTTGACTTAATATACATCCTATGACATTTTGCTAAGAATTAATCTAAAGAGGAATCGAGATTTCTTTACCATAATTCATTGGAATTCCTGTCACTTTTTGAGACAGATATGGTTTGCCTTCAATGGTCACGGCTTTTCATAAAAAAATCGAGGGTTTCCTTTTGAATTTATTTGCTATAAGCACACGGTTATTGGCAAACGATGTATATGGAGATTGTTTAATAAGTGAATTACATTATACACTAAATCTAGCCCGATAACACCCGAAAATTCCAGTACACTGGACAACTTTTTCGACCTTATATAGGTGAAAGATAGGTACCACTAATGGCGACAAATGGTGATCAAAGTTAAAAAAATTAAACATTGAAATCAAACCCAGTGATCTAACGCTTAGGTACTTGCTGAAATCTCTGAATGTCCTGTGTTCGATACATGATAGGTTTATGAAACATCGCCCTCAAATGCTCCGGCACGGTCGAGGGCGAAGAGAGTCCAATCTCCCTCTCGTAATGTTCTCAAATGGACACGCGTATACAGCAACTGTCAGAGAAGTCCTGCACACTACCTTCTCACGGCTAGATTGTTTTTCATGAAATCGAGACCATAATCGAATATTCAGGGTTTAAAAGGGTTAACGGGTACGAAGGGTTCACTTAGGAGATTCGGAAAACCCTGATTTCAAACCGATGATGTACAACGGCTTAAGGATCCTGATGAGACAAAAAGCGTATGAACCTACTGTTGGTCACTGACAACCACTGGACTGCATCTCCTAACGTTGCTGCAATACTTTGCGGATTAGACCTCTAGATCGAAGGGTCGAGGAGTGGCCACCTAAGAAAACCACCTGTTTACGTTTCGAAACCCAGGTAGTATACTAGATCACACACAAAACAAATGATGATTACAACTGGCAAGAATTATTTTCTCTCCGATTCGAATTCAGATAAACCGTATTCACAATCACTTGTTTTCATTTTTTATATCCATACTCAAGACTCTGGTGAAGTACTAAAAATTCACTCTTCATCAGTCGCTTTGAAAAGATTGTTTCACTTGAGTTATACGAACACCTCAACTGGTCCGCTGCCCCTACGACATCGATCAGATTGTCCTACTCTCCTTGGCCTATGACGACTGGTCCACCTAACGAGACCGCCAGGAACTTCAACTATTTACGTTGATTCATATACTTATCAACCGACTTAACATACCTAGCGAACTATACTTAATTTCAATGTAAACGATTGAGCAATCTAGTGTTTTTAGGTTCCTACCTGTTTAATTGAACAATTTTCACTTACATACGCGTTACCTTTCGTGAAGGACTATAGGACAACAACTACGGTTCTCCGTCAAACTCTGTACTGGGCAATCCTTCCCAGTTGCTGTTTATTATTTTCATGTCTGCTTCCAATTCCCAATGCAATCTGTTTCTTCGCCTTCCTCCTTTTCGTTTCCCTTCAGCATTCCAAGCTAGAGCTTGCCTCGTGATGCCGCTTGGTGATTTCCACAATGTACGTCCTATGCACTAACAACGTCTTTTCATAATGCCCTCTTCTGTCGGGAGCTGGTTTGTTTTCTCGAACAGTAGGCTGTTGCTGATGGTATCTGGCGAACAAATGTATAGTATCTTGTGTAGACAATTGTTTATAAATACTTGTACATTTTTGATGTTTGTAGTAGTTATTTACGTTTCAGCTGCGTACAGTAGAACTGTTTTGATATTCGTATCAAAGATTCTGACTTTAATGTTGGTTGACAGAGAGTTGTTTTGTATTCTATATGTTCTTCAACTGTAGGAATGTTGTGCTAACTTTACCAATGCTTGCCTTCATATCTGCATCAGATCCTCGTATTTCATTGATAATACTTACCAAGTATGTTAAGTTTTCTATCTGTTCCAGGGTTTCTCCATCAAGTATAATTATGTTGATGTTATAAAATCTACAAATGAATCATTTATGCATCGCATCGATTCATTTACTTCTTTATTTTTATTATTATTATGAAAAATACTTTACATACCATTTTCATTTAATAGGAATACAAACAATATGATTAATTAAATAGATCATAATCATATGCTTAATTTCGAATACTTATTAATTCTATTACTATAATAAGATTATATAAAAATTTTCTCTTTGAAGTTAATAATCATTTCTATGATTAAGTAACAATTTTCTTTCTCTTTGTTGCTTCTTTTTTTCTTTCTTTTTTTTAAAAAAAAATTCACAATTATTTGGCACACATATTATTCAAAGTTGAATAAACGCTTTTTCTATACTTTCAGTGAATATGGAATGTAATAAGTGAAAAACGATTAAAATTTACTGTCAATGGATCAAGTTAATTATCATTTATTATAGTCTCTCTCTCTCGCTTACTCTGGGGTATTTTTTCAATATTTAATATTCATTTTCGAAATAAGCAGAATACAATATTAGAAAATACATGTAAGTAAGTATATAGTAATAATAAAATACACAGAATATATGGTCTCAATATTTATTCACAATTCACTATT